AATATGCATCACTGTAGAGATTAGCATAACTTCAGGATACATCCTTTTTTTCCTCTATAGCTTATTAGCATTTCAGTTCTCAGTGGCTTCACTGAGTTCATCTCTATTAGTAGACTGCATTAGATTCTCAAAGTTTCATTATATTAAATAAACTGCTGCATGGTTGTTTAATATTCCAAAAAAATCCCTGCTTTCTAAGAATCCTATACATAAACATAAAACATAGATTCTGGAGCAAAAGTGGACAGGCATTCATAGGAGAATATATATATGAGTATTTTTGTACTCACACAACATACTCACCTGTCAAAAGCAATTACTGAAAATATGAATAGAAAAAAAAAAACTGTACTGTTTTATATGGGGCTTGATACTAGAACTGGAATAACAAATGTACTTGAAAGGACATAATTTCAACTAAAATCAATTCTGTAGTACATTTCTCCATTTTACAGCAGTAAAAATTACCAACCAACTTGTTGTATCCAAAGTTACTGCTTCTATATTTTTTGGCAAATGATTAAATTAACACAACGTCCATGTATTTTAAATTTTTGTATGAACAAAACTCAAACTTGCAAAATCAAGAACCTTGATTTGCAGAAGTCCAAACCTGCAGTACTGCAGCAGCAAGGACTATTAAAATGCAATGCAAATTCCACTGTAAACACTACACATTTCAAGTCAGAGGAAGCAGTTATACGAGAAGCTGAAAATAAAACACAAGTACCTTCAAAATTATACCATGCTGCAACAGACAACACAAGTTCCTCTACCAAAAATCTGTCTTTCTTGCATGTTTAAGGTGATAAGGTTCAAAACATTGAATTTCACTTTATAATTTCCATTGCTATGTTAAGGCAACTCTAGTAAGTTCTAATATTAAAAGTTACCATTCTCTTTTCAGTGTAGTTGTTGTACAACATGAACCAATTTGAACAATGCAATTTGAACTAAAATTTACAAATGATGCCAACAATGAAAAGGAGTCAGCATTACATCCTTCACCTGTGCCACCAGTGATTTCCAGGACTGAATTAACAGGTAAAAAACCTGCGTAGCCTCCTGACTCTTCATCACTTCAAGTACGACTCAATCATGGCACACGCTGGCTAATAACTTCTTATGCAGACAGACATACGTAAAAAACGTGTTTTCTCTTTAAATCTATGCATGCACCTCTTTGTATAGAATGCATGTAACATGTATTTAAAAGAAAGCAAAAGTTGTTGGAACATTATCTAATAATTATTACCTCTTTCATATAGTGTCCTTTTTTTTCCAGACACCAAAACCTCAGAAAAGAAGCCATTGCATATGACTTAAACCTATATACTCATCTCAATATGAACTAAAATGCTGTGAAGCAATAACGTAGTAATATTTCACGAGCACTTAAATGCTATCTTTTTGACATATCATAAGTAAGTCCTTACATTCCATGTAATTTTATGTGTTTGCAAGAAAGAAAAACTGGGACTATGAATTACAAAAATATGCACTATGTATGACTCAACTTAAAGACCAAGCCAACTATGGCATCCTCCTCATGAAACTACTATGTTTAACAAAGGGTGGGGAGAGGAGTGATCCTATGGGATCAGCTGAGAGCCAGCTTTAAGCAAAAAGTTATGTCACTTACACATCCAAGTGATATAAAACATCACACAGCTAGCTCAAGAGAGTAAAGCTCAGTTGGAATCCCTATTAACAAAGCATTTGCTAAATGATCAGGTTAGAATTGGACTAAAACTTTAGTCTTTGAAGGCTTAGAGCATCTCAAGGAAAACAGACAAATTACCATTTGTACCACTGTCTGACACGGCATTACTAAGCACTCACAGCTGTCTTGAGACCCAGCTTTCAGCTTAGGAGCTGCATTACCTTTAATGTATAGAATTTTGATTTAATAGGTGACAAGACTGGCAGCTTCACTTGAGAACTGGTCTCATAGATATGTCTCATAAAGAACATGAAATGATTCTCAGGGCACCTATTTACTGCTTGGTAACTATTTGTGAATAATAGCATGTCATGATGTACAGCTGAGCAATTAACTTACAGAAATACCAGAAGAAAATGCATCTGATGTACAAAATATTCTTCATCTCAATGAAATACAATTTTAAAAAAAGAAAAATCACGAAGATATGCTACAAGACGCTTTAATAGTCATGCTATTAAAAGATGTATGCTATGAATTTTTCATTCCCATTAGCATCACTTGCTACTTCCGAGCCTAATACATCCTCCAGCATGACACTAGTTGGCACATCACTTCTCTTTAAGCTAATATACTGGCCTTCAAACAAATCAAAACCTGCTTTAGTGTAATAGTGTTGGGTCAGTAGCACCAACTTCTAAATATTTCATAATTTATTATTTAAACTGAAGGAGGGGACCACATCATAACAACATGCATAAAAGCCCAACCCCCGAACCCAGGCCAATCACCAGAAAACGTGAGAGAAATCAGTGCTCACAAAAAGCTTTTATAAAATATAATCCTAAGTATCCAATAATCCTAAGGTATCCTAAGGAGGGAGAAAGTGAAGAGAGGCTACACAGGAGCATCTTCTCTGATCTCCTGATGGGAATTTTACCAAGGTTATCAACTTTATGAGGTCCTGACTGTGTCTGGGATAAGTGTTAATTTTGTTCACAGTAGCTAGTAATGTGCTGTGTTATGGATATAGGAGGAAAATAATGCTGATAACACACTGATACTTTAGTTGTTGCTGAGCAGTGTTGCACAGAGCAAAGAACACTTCACCTCTTCACACTCTTCTGACAGCAAGGAGATGGAAGAGTATAAGGAGCTGGGAGGGCAGCTGACCCAAACAGGCAAAAGAAGTTTCCCATAACCTATCATATCACGCTCAACTGTAAAACTGGTTCAAAGGAGTAACTGGGACACATGGTGTGGCAGTGTTTGCCTTCCCCACTAACAGCTCTGCTGTTCTGGAAGTGGCTGAATGCCTTGTCTGCCGATGGGACACAGTCTATGAATATGTTGTGTCTTGCCTTCACACAAAGCTTTTGCTTTATCTACAAAATTGTCCTTATTTCAACCCACAAGTTCTTGCACTTTTTTTTACCTTTTCCATTCTCTTATCCTAGTGCTGCTAGGGGTGAAAGTGAGTTGGCAGCTGGGTAGTGTTGAGCTGGTTGCTGGGTTAAACCACTACACAGTCAAATAAAACACTGCTTTCTCACCACCTTCTTTTCAGGAAGGCTGGCATAAGATATATAACACTCCTGTAAGTCATAGATAATTAGCTCTTCAGTCTATAGGTAAACAGTCAACAGAACTGCCAGACTAGCTAAGAGTGATGACTGAATCATCTGGCTGATAATTTGGTCTCTTAAACCCAAGAGACACTAGCTGCAAAATGGAAAGAACATTTAATGAAAATTTAAGTCTTTTCAATTCTGAGACATAAAACAACACCCTATGATTGTCAATTCTGAGTATGAGGCAGTGGCACCTCAATTGTTAGCATAATAACACCTTTACTAACATCAAACAGTCTGTTCTCTTACCCCTCAGCTAAGGAGTTTTTACATAGAACATGGAAATGTTACAAGAAAGACAGTTTAGTGAAACTGATCTTACAGTAAAAGAAAACAAAGAATGGATTGCTTCTTTTCTTTAAAATGGTGTTCAAAATTTATTCTTTCTTTAGAAATCTGAGTTTCTGTAAAACTCCTGTAAAATGCTGAGACGAGAACTAATGCTACACTGAGAGCAAAGTTTTCAAAACAAGTCTCATTTCAGTGTGTTCTCTGGCAAAGTTAGGTACCAATGGGAAGAAAAAAAAAAGAAGCTAATTTGATCTTAGGGGTTTTTCATTATTTATTTATTTATTTATTTATTTCTGCAGAAGACTAGATTAAAATGACCTCTGCTAAGGCTAGCAGAGTAACAAAACAGTTGACCATTCCCCCAGTTTTTGTTTTCAGACCGACTACTTTACTTCAGCAAAATTAATTCTGTGTTTATTATAAGTGTGGCTGCAAGGCTCCTGATCTTTCACTATAAGCACTGAATTTTCAAGCATTCACATGAAGTGAACATAGTGGAGGTAGTAGCAGTGGTAGAGCAGCCTCATGGAGACAGAGAAGCAAACAGAAAGAAGCTGTTAGGGGTTTCCTGAAAGTTCTGTGCGCTGCTGAAATTTTATTTGGCCAAAAGATGAAAGTTGCCATTGATGAAGATATTGCACCAAGTAAAAAATGGCTCCAACCAGTCTGACAAAAGTGGAGAAAAGAGTAAAAATTGTACACAAGTAATGAATGTATTTTTAATGATTTAACTTCTGAATTTAAGTAACAGAAAGAAAGTATTAAAATATTCCTATAATGCTCTATAAAAATCCATAAGAACAGAAGATGAAAACAGCTTGTTTGAGTAAACAAATGAGCTCTGACCTAATACTGCAATCTGTCTCATGTTCTGTTGTAAGGTCAAAAAAAAGTAAAATTTTACTGTCTCTTACTGCATAACGCTATAATGTTTTAAAAAAAAAAACAAAAACAAAAACAAAAACCTACTGCCACTTCTAACTAATTCTAATTCCTGGTATTACACACAAATAATACTACCATCATTTAGGAAATTAAGCTCCTTTGCAAGTTTATAAATTTTGAAGTAAAACTGGAGCTAACATCTTCATTTGCAATATGCAAAGGAGAGGATTACATTATAAACCAGTTTTGGGGTTTTTTTTCCTTTTTACAAATAGGAGCACGCAAAGAAGAAAGGCTTCAAAATTAGAAATTACCCTAAATATAAAAGCTCTGCACCTTTTGTATTGCAAGCCAGCCATAAAAATCACTCAGTTATTTCAAATAATATATACAAAAATACAACAAGCGAGAGCAGTGAAATTTACTCTTGCAACAAAGTCAGTAAGGAACATGATGTGAAAACATGCATTTATGAGACACACCAGACAGAAAGCATGAGTTATTAAAGAGAAATGGAATGGGACACTTACACAGTGGCTCTCTCTCAGGGGGTCCTGATGGTTACTATTTTCTTAAACCATCTAGACAGAATAGCAGGCTGGGAAGAAGGGAGCCACATACAATCCACCAGATGACAATGCTACACAGTGTAGACACCAGCATAGCTAGGAGCCATCTAAAAAAGGGGTTGGAGGGGGAGGAAAAGATGAACAAAAATTCGAAAGCAAAAGCTATTGCTGCATTTTAGCTTGTTTTTTTTATAAAGCATACTGCTCCATAATCTTAGTCAAGCATTTTCTTACTTTCCATATGAACCCATGTAACTGTAACTTGTCAAATGTATCTATGTGTTACAGGAAGCAGAACAAAATTTCTTGAAATCCTCACTGAAGTAATCTCTTCCAAAGAAAGTTGTCAATATTTCAAAAATAAATGCACTCTAGACCATTTGTAGCCATCTCTTATGCAGTTTGAACAGCCTGTACCAATAGATCTTACTTTACAACCATATGTTTTGATACAAAAATACTCGCCCTGAGCCAGATCACTTTCTAGCAACTATTTATGTGAACACTCAAAACAGCAAGGCTGCATTACTTCCTGCATTCAAAACTGCCAAAGCTAATTGATATTCTCTTTGCCAAAGGTATACCACATTGCTTATTGGAACATACACAAAGTATCCATTCACAAAATCACATAACGGTCATACAATCATCTTCAAAATGCTATTACAGAAACCCCTTGTGACTCAAAGTAATGCTCCTAGCCCTCAAAAGACTGTAATCCTCTTGACTTCTGGTGCTCTTATTTTGCTTGTGTTTTTTGTTGTAGTAGTTCTTTTGTTTTCTCTCTGAAATAAAACTACATAGAGGATTTAGAAATTTCTTTTTGTTTGCTCATACAAAATCAATTTCTCAACAGAATTAACTACTTTTTAAGATTCTGAACTAAAACAGAAAAAGGCTAAGAGCTGTTTAGGTATGATAACTAATCCTGGTAAGGCAGCTAAACATTCCTACTGGTATTTTGGTTTAATAACAGTAACACTGTCATCACATTATCTCAGTACAAGCTGTATTCAGTCTCAGTACAAACCATAAAATCATTTCCTGCAAGAAATAGTAGAAAGGAAATTCCAATTCCTTGTTAGTAAACCACCTCCCTGTGCCAATATGCAAAACTATCAAAACATAAATTACCCAGTCAACATTCATTCTAAAGAACATGCTGTAACTGAGACTTTTCACAAACTTTATTATATACTTAAAGTACTACATGTGAAAAAAATACTATGAAGTACAAATGAAGGCAACACATGCCTCAGAAAATAATGTGCAAGGTAGCTATTTTTTACTTTACTATTCGAGTACGCTGAGGTGGGTTGTTTTTGTTTTTTGGTTTTTCTTTTTGTATTGTCTGATTTTTCTACTTTTTAAAAAAATTTCAGTTGGAACAGGCTTTGCTCTTCATATATTGTTGATTACATGATTGTCTGTGTAAATCATGACTGTGAACAACAGAGATTCTTTTAATTAAAACAAAAGTCAAATTCTCACACAGCAATGTGTGAGGCTATCCAAAGATATTCTTGTAACTTTAGCATATTCTTACTATGTACTTCTCACTTTCCTAAAAATTTGATGGCCCATAATTAGCTATGAATTATGCCTTATGATTCCTTCAGAAATACAGCATAAAAAAAGCCAAGTTGCCTTTGGTCTATAATTCCAGTAGTGTAATATTTGCAAAAATCTACTGCCCTTTCTTTACGAGCAAACAAATGAGATATTGGATATATCTTTCACATCTTGCATTCCCTTGCAGTTTATGTATGGGGAGACAAAATTTTTTCCTTCTACAACAGATGCGAACAGCAGTTGCCTATAAACTTTATTTTACAGGTGGTGTTTCATGCTTGTTTTAAATAAGGAGACTAACATACCAACTTCCAAAATAGAACAGGCCTCCTTAGAATTTATTTATTGAAATACTACTACTACCCGCCTTCCTGAATGTCAGCCATTATCCCAAAGTCCATAGGATTTAGGGTATGTCCTCCAAGGAGAAGGAAATAAAACAAAGCTAAAGATTTTTCTTTAAACTATTCTTAAGCAGCTGGCCCTACTGAAAACTATGAACACACCATATTTCAAGCAATCAAACACCACCAATCAGTCATATTCTTCCACTGCTATGCTACCACAATAGAAGAAGAAATTACTAGCATACGGCATTCATAAGTACTACAGGAATTTCCAGAGCACAGAGCACTGGAATCAAAGATTAACACAAAGAGAAAGAAAGTGAATAATGCAGGTCTTCAACCAAGTTCTCCTGCTTCCTTAATGCCTTCAGCAGAACTTTTAGGAAAAAGGTGAATCTCACGCTTGTGTTAAATGAGCAAAATCAGTCCTGCCAACAAATTTATAAGCGCTAAGGTAAAAATGCATGAAGAACAGAATAAAAGCATTTCTGGTATTTATGCATTCGTAAACTGACTTACTTTTGTGGAGATGCAGTTGTAGATTTTGCCTGCCTTTTACTTTTCAAAGCACGAAGCTTATCACCTTGCGTTATACTGTCTGTTTCATCTTCATCACTGTACTGGATAAGAGGGAAAAAGCCAAAGTTTAAAAGTACACACTTAGAAAGAATTAACTTTACTTTAAATCATAAATTTAGAATTATCCCCAAAAGAAAGGCTGCCAGCATAAAAATGAAAGAAATTCACTTAAATAAATAAATTTCCTGTGATGTCACGTGATTTGCATGCATCAAAATGTTCAAACATTGGAAACACATCTCAAACCACTGTTCAGGTACAAGACAATACTCACTTGCCATTTCCAGCAATTATCCACCTCTTAAAGAAAGCAGACAGCTTCAAAAAGTTGTACAGAAGCTGTAATTTTTCAAAGCTAAATATAGTGAAAAACTTTTCATTCCTCCCCTCAAAACACAGAAAGTAATACAATAATTTAACTGGCAATCCAAAAAACACTTACAGAATTTTTGTCTGCAAATTTTAAGCTCTAATATTGTTTGTTCTAATATTTATCTAACTGCAAGGATCAACTACGATGATAATTCTCCTACCTCACCGATGTACTGCACTTCGTTTTTAAAATCATAATTCCTGTCCATAGCATTTTTATCCCCAAACCTCTTGATAGGTAAAAGGAAAACAGAAAAAGGAATCTAATATCACAGCTTTATTGTACCCACATGTTTGTTTAGAATCTAAGAAATCCTCAACAGCATTTGCAATTTTCACAAAAGCAAGATATTCAGATGGTTACCAGTTCAGTGTCGTTTTGGATTGTCCTCCTGTTTCTAATACCATTAATTGAAATATGACCTACTCCTGACACGATTCTTGTTACACCCATTTTACAGTTCCGTCTCAACTTTTGATGGAAAAGATCTCCTTCTCTCCAAAGTTCTGGCTGTTTCCTATCACAGTACAGAAAAATAACCCAAAAACCAACAAATTAACAACACAAAATTTAAGGATAGAATAAAAAGAGAACATAAAGTTATGAATCTATTTTCAAAATTAGTAAGTCAATCTACTTACCTCATTAGGAAATGCTGTTGTGGTCCGATCACTGAACCTGGTCTGTTTATCCTAATCCAGGCAATAGTTTCAGCAGCTGTCATTCGATAATGCTTCATAATATAACAGGCAATAAGTGTGCCAGTTCGTCCAAGACCAGCTGTGTAAGATAAAAAGATGGGTTTTTTTATATGCTTGTTTTCATCTGAAAGCTGCTGTAGCTACAGACACTGTGACTCAGACAAAAAGTTAAGTGTCTGTTTTATTAGATAAAATTGTTGCTGGTAAAACTCTCTAAGTGCAACCTACCTTTTCAATTTTTTCCCTCGTATATATAGTTAATAACAGATTGTTTAAGTGTTTTTAATATCTGCAACTATATATTTATATGCACACATATAAAAGCATATAGGATGTATACACAAACAGGCATCACAAGTTTTTAATGCAGCTATACAAGAGCTGCCTTTTCAGACAATTCACAAAGCACTTTAAGTACAAACTGATCACAAATTACAGTATCATCACTTTCCTAAAGGCCCTAGAAATGGAACCATTTACCTTGATAAATGTGAAAAGGAAAAGAAGATAGCCAGCTTTGTGGCCTGCTTGATCACTTTCTATAAGTGTCAAATCACATTCTTTCATTTAATAATCTACTGAACATCTGTGTAAAAACCTTCAGTACAGCCCAACAGACAAGACAACCACACAGCACTTTCTGTGCTTTGTCCAGCTATAAGAACAGGCTAGAGCATTCCACTGTTTCACAAGAGTTATAGGAGGCAGAGGACTGTAAGGCAGTCTTGACATCATCAGCATGATAAATATCAGAGACATCTTATTTTGAAGGAACACAAAGCATTTGTACCACTTTAAATATAATCAATTAAATGATATGCCTGGATTTCACATCCTGGTAGAGAATGTAAGTGTACAGTCAAGAAGCTTTTCTGGTCATGTGTACAGTATAATCCTATTAAACATATAGCAAGTGAAAATCCAGAGAAAAAAAAAAAAAATGAAGCCTCTGAAGGTCCCAAGCAAATGTTTAAGAAAATACTTTTCTCCTCCAATCATTATCTGGTGTGAAAGGGAAAACAGTTGCTCTGGAACTGCAGAAATCTTTATGCCTCAGCAAGCTACATTCAAGCTATGCTGGGCATGTTCTCAACAGCCATTCCTTTTGAGTTACATTGCCAAGTAACAGGCATTCAGAGATACCCAGCACAGCTAGTATAGAGGGTTTCCGAGGGATGAAAATAGTTATGGTTCTGTAGGAACACTCCAATACTTCATGATTACTTTTCTCAAAAAGCTCTACTGATATTTTTAAAAATTTATAACTTGGGTGTATTTATTCACGTTTTCAGAAATACCTATAAACCTTGCCAGTATTGCAAATTCCAAATCAAAAGAACCTTCTGAAAGTGCTAACGCTTTCTAGTAGAAAGAGACGCTAATAATGGCAAGCTTGCATCCAGCAATCTCATTCTTGAAATATTTGGAAAGACTACTATGGAACTTAAAAAACTAGAAGACAAAGAGCAAAACAAAAGCACATAAAGAATGTGCGCAGGAAAGCTGTTGCTTAGCAAAGTTGTCAGTAACTAGATGTAAAGGAATTACAGAATTGAAATGGGGATGTAAAAGGGACCTTAGGGTGAGAAATATCCTAGGAACTATAACTTGAAATATAAATTGCTTGTATCTGTACCTTTGCAATGAACGGCTATAACACCTTCAGCATTTTCACAAATACTTAGAAATGCTTTAACGATGGTATCATTAGGTATGCTTCCATCAGCAAAGAAGAGGTCAAAATGCTCAAATCCAGCATCCGTAAAACGTCTGGCATCATACATTTTTTTGTTGAGGCGTATTATAGTGGTGACCTTATGTTTCCTGAAATATGGGAAATAAGCTTCTGGAGCAAGATGGGGATAGCCTATTTGAAAAAAAAGAAAGTGGGGGAGAGGAAGAAGAATGAGACTCAAACTGTAAAATAAATGAAGACTGAAAACCAACAGAAGAAAACACTTTCAAAATAAAACTTAAGACAAACATAAAAAAATAGTGTAACTGAAAATGGAATTTTAAAATAATCACCTAGATCAGATGCAATTAAACCAAGCATTACAATTTTACTATCAGGGTTCTTATAAAAGAAACAGAGCCAAGGAAAAAACACACTATTTGAGGAACAATTTTTAAAGCTTTTTCTTACTGGTAGCAACCAACTAAGTAAGCAGTGGGCTTGTGTCCCCCACCTCCTTTTTTAAGCATACCATTTTCAATTTTACTTCTTGAATGAGGTCCACTGAAGGCAATGAATTTGTTTGGTATTATCCAGTTAAAATCTCCATTTTCTGCTCTCTGTCAAGAGAAAATGCTTGGTTTATCATTATCCCTGTATTTTCAGGCTTTTCCTTATTGTTTCAAAATACATGCTAGATAGACGTGATGTAAAATTTTTGTCAAAGAAAGTGTTAGTGACCTGCTTTTTGCTTCATCAGGAGGCTGTCACTTGTTTTTAATCTCACTCATCTTGCTTGTATTTTCCCTTTTCTAAATTACAGTTTTAGAACAATGACGTTGGTAAGCTTCAGACGAAGAGCAATTTCCAATTCTAACATTTTTATAGGTTCCTAAACTATGATCTTCCTCTTTTTCATTATTTAAATCATGATTTTTTAGATTCTAAGAATACCTAATTTTCTCTTTACTGATAACTAGCAGTGTTGCATTTCTGAGACTTTATATATTCAGACACTGTAGTCCTTTAACTTCATATTAATTTCCTACACCTCAAACTTGTTGGAGGCTTTAAGTTTCCCAGTCCTGTCTTCTTCTTTAGTTTAAAGAACAGTGTTATAATTTTGCTTTGTGTTAACAAATGCACACTTCAATTGGTTTTCAGAAATCAGTTAAGACTTGGACCTGTCTGCCCTCAGGCTGCCCACTGTAACTGCTCAAAAATATGCTCCACTTTTAAAAGATTGCCAAGGAACAAATTCCTGCTCCCTCATCACCTTCCAAGACTTCAATAAAAACATGGGGAAAAAAGTATTTCAGTGCTGTTTTCTGCTTTTCTCCACTATGTTTGAGGCTGACTACGCTTAAATCTGACTCTGAATACTCTCTCTGATCACTCACCTATATTTAGTAATCACAGTTGAAAGAGGTAAAAAAGAAATGGAACATAATACTACAGACAAATAGCACATGTTATAAACAATCATAATGGCATTAATAGCAAACTAATCAGAAGATTGATACACATACCTCATAATGCTCATATTCATTTACATCAAATTCATCAAAATCCAGAAAACCATACTGCAAAGCCTAAAATCCAGAATACAACTTTTAACAAAAATAGCATATTTTCAGTGAGGACAGTTAATTTCTCTTTCAGGTTACTGAATGCCTCTTACTACTTGCTCTATCCTTTCAGAGGAATTTCTTAATTCATTTGAAAAAATGCACAACAGTTGAGTCTTGGTACAAAAAAGGAAAAATCGATTTGTAAATTATAATAGAAGTGAGGTTACATGAGGAAGTCTTTTTGTTTTCACCAAATTCATATTTTATAAGCATACTGTCTTTTTATTACTGCTAGAAGTAAGATATGCCAAAGAGAAAAATAACCGGCAAACATTACCTATTTAAATTATAGGTATATTCTGAAATCTGTATTCAAAGATAAATATTTTTGTGTAAGGATCCTATTCTATTAAGATTCTTATATCTTCACTAATTAAGAACTGGCTGCAGATACACTAAGCCTACAGTTCTAAAGAGAAATCAGTGTGGTCCTCGATGCTCCTTATTATCTACAGCCATCATATTTAATACGGTATAAAAAATGTAAACTTTCTGGTAACTGGTAGTTTATCACTTATTAAGTCAAAAAGAGCAAATGCAGACAATCTCATAACATCGCATATTTTTAATATTAAATTCAAATCTCTTCTCATATTGCATAGCCCATTGTGGTTTTCCTTGTTGTTCACCAGTATTGAAAAGAATAGCAATTCACTGCTCTTGGCAAAGGAGCAGCCAATGTTGGAACACGGAAAAACACCTGAAAAATCTCAAAACTACAAGAAGTTGGCTTATGCAATAGAAAAAACAGTATTTGGCAGAGACACTCACAATGAAAAAAAAAACAAACAGTAATGGAATGGAGAGCCACAGAATATTCATATATGCCTCTTCAATTTTCATATAGATGAAAAAGAATGCATTCAAGTTCTCCTTGCTCTAAAATGACACATTAGTCACCACTGTACTGCTGTAGGTTGTAATAATTTGTGATTAAAAAAAAAATCAGCTTGTAACATTGTTGCATTTATAATACTGAAGCAAAACTTCAAGTTACATACTTCAATTACATACTAAAAATGCCCAAAAAGCACCAATAAGCAATTCAAAAGCAAAATTCAAAGGCAAAAGTGGGTCATCTGATAAAACTGTTAAACATCTCTTAGGGATCAGAGATACAAATGACTGTCCTGAAAAGATTAATTAAACAGAAGTCAACATTTCCCCTTTAGAAACTTTTCTAGTTGACTATGCATGGCATAAGTTCACTTCTAGGGATGTTCCACCCAGTTTTGTTACAATGCATAATACATAATAAGCTGGCAACAATCAGAAAATTTGCTGTAATTGTAGCTGTAACAGTCTAATTAGCTACTAGATTTCAAAGGCTTCTTTTTCTGCTGGGCAGTAATTGGCTGATGTTTCACACTAAAAAAAATACTGTTTAACTTACCTTGTTTATTGCATGAAAACAATCCAACAAAGTTAGATGAAAACTGCAAGTACCAAATGAAGCATCCCTGTAGTACAAGATGATCAAAACAGTTAAGTTTTCCCATTTAAATCTCTATTTCTCTGTATTTCTCTAAAGCAACATTAAAAGAGAAATACAATTTCTAGTATTGCAAAATATTGTTGAACAATTACTTAATTTCCACCCTTGTATCTCATAATAACAACACAGAAATACTTTAGTTATACCTTTTGTTAAATGTAACATGCTCAATGTACATGTCAACAAAGAACAGAAATACATGAAAAATAACAGGAACTCCCTATGGCAAAAACTGATGCATAAAGAATAATCACACTGTAACATACAATCTTAAAACATTTCTATCTGAAGTTCACTTTCAAAAACATCAAACTGTAATACACTGCAATTTTCTTCTTCAAATTCCATTTAAAGAAAAAAGACACTTCACAAATGCATTTTTTATTATATGTGAACAGTATCTTCTTGAAAAAACTGTCAAGATACACATTTGTATATGCTAACACATTTTGGATATGCTAAAAGATTTATAAGACGCACAGAATAGTTAATGCTTAAACTTGAGAAATTGGTTCTCATCAAAACTCTTTCATCTACTTTTTTCCTAAATCTTCTTGATGCAAAAATAGCATGTTCTCGGTATATAACCATTACTAGACTCCATAAGCACAGTCAAATAAGCATTCTACAGGAATACTTCAGTCAGGTAAAATATAAACAATCAATATCAGATGATATTTTATCTTGTCAGAACAGCTACTTTTGAAAACCTGCAGCTCTTATCAGAATACAGGGAATCATTACTGCTACATTAAAGTAAAAAACAGACCATCTTCAAACTCAAACTAAAAGGAGGAAGAAATTCTAAGAACCTGAACATCTGCCTCTACACATTATTTCTATTCTTTTCTTCCTAATGAGTGTGAAGGTGAAAAAAAAAATCTGCAGGAGACAGTGATAACAAAACACAGTTCAAGTAAGTGGAAAGCATTCTCTGCATGCTGTTAACAAGTTTTCCTGTTGGTAATGACCAGAAGTATCAACTACCTTTCTGTTATTCTTCTGAAAGGCAAAGCTTTTTGCAGAGATGAAGATGAGAGAGCAATTTGAATTCAATAGCAAGTTCTGCTGAATTCAAGAAAATAGAAGAATTCCCAGATAGTTCAGCATGTTGTATGTATTATACTGGAGACTAAACACGTTTTCAGAAGTCAGCTATCAGTAATTCTTGTTATATAAATATATTTGCATTTTTTTTCAAAGTGATGTCAAAGTGATCATCTGAGGATTTGGGCATGGCGTGTGATCTGACTGAACAACTGCTATCTTAACTATCCACATACATCTTTAGAATTTTTAGAAACACAGAGGTCTTTAAATAGGCCTTTTTATTTCTGGGAATATCCAAAAAGGAATTAAAAAGAGAAATGGAATGATGGAAGTATGAAAGTAAAGACAGGTACTACTACACACTTTAACTATGAAGAAGTAAAGGAAATTCAAATCATCAAAAGCCCAGCTCTTGGACATGAGCTAGAAAACACAAACAAGCAAGGACTGAATTAATCATCAGCAATCAGATAGCAAACTTGCATACTAAAAAGTTTTTTGGCCATTCTTTTCTGCATACTGAGGCAGCCAATGGAATGTTAGTTTGATCCAACTTTTAGGAAAACTTCTTTGAAGAATTTATGAAGTTTTTTCTACACATGGGTGGATCAACCTTATTTGGTAAATTAAGCTGTACGGCATACACCACAAAGGCTAGGATTATATTCCCTCAGGGTCAAGCAATGACAAACCAGTGGTTTTATATATTTCCTCATTGGTAAAAATAAATACTTCAAAGTTATGCTAAATCACAAGAGGCTAGGTAGCATTCTTTAGGCACAAAACAGTATTTTTAGTTTACTTCATACATTTGCTAAGTGAAATAAAAATGAGTGTGAGAAGTATTGGAAGTCTTGTGTGATTACTGGAAGATATTTTGACTTTTAACTGTCAACTACTAGCATAAGAGCAATGTCAAGTAGAAAGCAATGTAGATCAAAAAGCTCAACAAAGACTATACAATATATAGTGTGGCTTCTTCACCTTTCGCATACACTTCAGAACCAGATGCCAAGCCCCCTGTTAAGTTTGCACTTAAAATCAAGCTGCGCCCTTTTAAACTATAGCAACAACAACAACAGAACAACAAAGCGAAACAGAAAAAAAAGTAGTATTGCTAAATGCTATATTCTTCTTCAAAATATCAACCTACAGAAAGTTGTAACACTACTATTTACCTGAAAGGAAGATATGAAACACTGCCAGCCAAAACAAGCTTGTATGCATCTTCTGGTGATTCTTTCAGATATATTATCTGTTTTTATGGAAAAAGAGGGAAAAACTATCTTAAGATTCACAGAAATAACTTAAAGTTACTTCTTTACTGCAGAAGACAGAAGTATCACAGAGTTCAAAAACACTGTGAAAGACTGTCGTGAAGAGCAAAAGAATACAAGTGTGCAACAATAAAATCAAGCAAAACAATAAAAAATATTCGTAAACCATGAACATATATTCTTAAGCAGAATGTATAGATTTGTCAAATTTCATTTATTTTAGACTAATGTGAAGATACTGGCAAACATATGAATTATCTGTTCTACAAAACAGTACATGTGCTCAGAAGATAAGATTAAAATAATAACTTGTAAATGTTTTGATTTTCCCATAGCAGTACATTTGCATTATTCTAAATCCTGGACTTCCTCCTTCATACTGGTGAAGCAGTGTTCAGTAATTAAATCCAGATGTCATAAAGGAAAAGTAATAATCCATAGTTCCAGAAGCAAAGTCCTAAGAATAGAATGAATACACTTGAAACACTGCAAATCAAACTTTTAGCTGTCAAAACCTCTCAAAAAAAAGATAAAAATCATGAATACCACCTAATGACATGAATATCGATGGCCTTCCCCCATGAAATACCTGATCACTCTTGTATATCCTCTAACAGTAAGGCCTACTTAGGAAATATTGCATAACTCTTTCATTATGCAAATCATGTCTTCCAGCAATCAAGAAATATCCCCTATGTGGCCAGGACAAAACAACTGTTAATAACAAAGCAGTCATTATCAGGTTCAATAATTTCATGTTAATACTTCTTATTTAGAACTGCATTAACTAAGCATTAAAACACTTCAGGAAGTTACTGTTTCATTAAAGTTCCATAAATTTATTTACACCTCCTATATAAGTAAGCTTTTTTGTTACAGTTTATCTTTTATGTAGAAATCATCATGAGTACTAATTAAATACGTTATCTATGACTAGGATATGGGACTTGAAAATATTCCAAATAAGCTTGCAGATGACACTGAAGTGGAAGGAGCTGCTGAATCCCTCAAGGGTAGAGGGGCACCTTGCAGAGAGATTTTGCTAACTCTGAGGGCTGGACAATCACCAGCTGTAAGAAGTTTAAGAAGAGCAGGCGCTGGCTTCTGCAGCTGGGATAAGGAAATCTTAGATGTATGTTCAGACTGGAATGAGAAGTTGGAGAGCAGCCCCACATGAAAGCACCTGAAGGCTACGCCTGACAGCAAGTTGTACATGAGGCAGCAATGTGCCCTGGCAGCCTAAAGGTCCAAATGTACCTGGGGTGCACCAGGCCCTGTACTGCCAGCTGGCAAGGGGAGGGGCTGTCTGCTCTGTGCTGCGCAGCCTCATCTTCAGCACTGGTGCCACAAAACAAGAAGCACACCAAAGTATTAGTGAATGTTCAGAGGAGGGCTATGAAGATGGCAAAGGGTTTCAGGGCAAGTGGTACAAGGAACCAGCTGAGGTCTCTGGGTGCGTTCAGCCCAGAGCTGGGCAGGCTGAGGGGAGGCCTGATGGCGGCTGCAGCTCCTCACAGGGAGCGCAGGGGCAGCATTGAGTTCTGCTCTCTGTGACAGAGACAGGGCCCGAGGGAACATGGAGCTGTGTGAGGGGAGGGCAGCTGGGAGTTAGGAACAGTTCTGCATCTGCATGGAACAGGCTGCCCAGGACAGTGGGCACAGCCCCTGGCTGCTAGAGTTCAAGGAGCGTTTGGACATCAGCCCCATATGTAGGGCTTAGATTTTGGGTACTGCTGGGATGAGCCATGGGCTGGACTCAGTGGTCCTAATGGGTTCTTTCCAATTCAGGAAGGATATCCTATGACTTTATTATTTGAATTACTCACAAAAACATACATTATTTTCACTCTTATTTGGCTTTTTTTTTTTTTTTTTTTTTAAGTTGGCATTGCCATACAGATTTCATTCTTTTTGCTGCTGCAAAATCAGTTTGAACAAATGGTCTAATTTGTGTTGGCAATATCTTCTCCACACACACATATGCACACACACAAGCATTCCTGAGAGTCGGAATGGGAGGTAGAAGCGATATTGAAAAAAAAAATAAATAAATAAATAAAAACCCAAAAACTTGAAACATATCTTCAACAGACAGCTAAAATACCAATGGCAACAGGTGACCTCTCTTGTTTCTCCTCTGATTAGATAGTGCTAAGTATTTTCTGGGCATTCTTCCTATGCAATTAGCAAAACCAAAGGAAAGAAAACAAACAAACAAAAAAAACCCCACACAAGTATTTTGTTTAAATAATCTACTGCAGTAACGAAAATTGCATTTTTTCTGTGTTTTCACTGAAGTGGTGTAAGTGAAATTTATATTTCAACTTGCAAGCATATACCTAGAAATAAAAAAAGACTTAAAAATTTAGATAGGTAGGTAGATCACTTAAGACTTGCTCCTCAGTTGCTTTCTATTCTGCAGGCATACGTTATACGTAATTCACTGCCTGAAATAGATACGATGATCATGTTAAAAAGAATTCCAAGTTGTATGTTTTGATACAGTCATATTTAATGTCTTGGAGCAAAATGAATACAGAGTTCCAGCTTCTATATGAACAAAGCACCGCTGGCTTATCAGAGAAAAAGTGCTGCCCCAGAAAAACTAATAAACCAGAGATATAATATGGCACTAACAGAAAGAACTGTAATTAAACAGCAGTTTGTACCCAGAAATGCATCACTCTGCAAAAAGCAGTGATTCAGTGCTGCCAGGCTGGATAATACAGAGCAATACTTGTACAACAGGCAAACAGAAAGGCAGCTAACTTTAGCTAATCCTTTAAGCACCTGTAGCTCACAAAGGAAAAGGATTCCTCTCACATTTCAGTCAAGCTTTTACAATCTTCTTGAATAACACAGGCTTCAGCACAAAAGCATGTTTGCAAATGTAACAGCAGCAAAAGGAAGTTTTTATTGCTCTAATGGATATGTTACAATAAATTAAGCCTAGATAACACCACATGATATTGAAACAGGTTAGTTCTTAATTCTGAAATGACATTACTAGTGAAGAAACACATCCAAATAGATATTCCTTGACATAATTACATGAACATTCACCACAGACAAGCGCATTTAAGAAAGCCAATGTGATTTTCTAATGAAAAATTCTGAGTACTAGAATATCTACCATCACTCAGTACATATAGAAAAAAAAAAAAAAACACACACACACTGCAATGAGATGGGTTTTTTTAGTGTGCATATGAAACAATATATAGTACATCCACTGAAGGAAGCCCTTTGATAGAGTCAGATCTCTTAAAATTTCTGGAACAAAAGCAGATTGTGGTACATTCTGGCTGTGATTGCACACATAAGATGTGATGCGTGGAACAGTTTCAGAGACAACAGTGGATGAAACTGCTGGATGGAATTCTTGGTGAAAAGCAGTTTACAAAAACTTCAGGTTAGTAGGAGGATATCTGGGCAGGTGCAATAAAATGGCATATTTCAAAACAAAGAATGGCAATTCAATCTTTACTGTAAATGGGAAATACTACAAATTGAAACTTCATTCATAAGGAAAGTATCCCAGCAGTAAGACAACACAAGAAGCAGAAGAACAACAGAAGCAGAAACAAGATTTTTACTGGCAGTTTAAGACCACAAGAGAATCCCAGCAGGAAATCTTGGATGTGTGGAAGTCCGGATCAAAGATGAATCTCTGACTGGATTCAGGTTGCTAGTGGACAAGGTTCCAAACATATGTAGGTTCTTCTGAAAGCAATGTTTTCTATTATTTCCATGGAAATTATAACAGATCTAAAGAGCACAATAACACAATTTGGTACAGCAAATTCTCATCTACAGAACTCCTTTTTTCAACACAGTCACTACCATTAGTGATGCATTTTCATCAGCAGTGAACAAGAACTGCATTCCACACCTGCAGAAATCTATATCTGTACTATCACTTATTGTCATTACTGAAACACACCACCCACTGTCTCACTGTGCTCACATCCACTGTTTGGTCTTCTTGTTCAATAAGCATCAATGAATGTCAGTAGGTGCTATTTTTATATCATGGGGAAATTCAATGACATCCCTTTGCTTCACATGCACTTCCACATCAGATCCATTCTGTCAGACTGCCCCTCTGCTGCCATCTGTCACATGGCAATGAAATGTAATGAAATGGTGGGAAAATTAAACTTCTACTGCCATAATATTAACATTCACCTCCGACACTGTGAGCCAACATTATCAAACAGGAAACCTTAATTTTGGAGCTGTCTTCATAGAAAGTGACTATAGGTAGGACTAAAGAAGTGAGAGATGGAGCTGCCAAGCACAGGGAAGCAGCAGACATCAAAGCAGCAGAAGCCACATCTGTGTTAGGATGTGCGTGAACTAGCATAAATGCATCTGTAGACTGACAGCTGGCAACAAAATGCTGACATTTGTACTGCAGACTTCCAGAATTTTATTCATTTATTTATTTTAACTTCATGCTAGTCCTACTCTGATCCTATGGACTGGACATTCATTAGCTGTTGGGATTGCTCATAGACTGCTCTATGAAGTGAACCAAAATGCACTTACCAAGGGTTTAAGGATACACTTCAAACCACACATTCCTTATACAAACCTAAACTTTACTGGACACACTGAGAAATACCTCATAGTTCAAGGTCAGTGACAGCTACTTTTTCTGACTGGGAGGAGGTCACTAAAACCTTAAAGGTGAATTATTTCACTGGAATTATGTCAAAGGCAGTAAATTAGAGAAGAAGTAGAAGTAATTAGAGTGACCTTGAGCAGACAGGATTCTCTGAAGTCAGAAGAGTTTTAGAAGGCACTTAGCAGAACTGAAGTTTCAGAAAAAGATGAAAATGTGAATGTTGAACCAACAAATACGAGAACAAAGATATTTATTGATACGTTTGTAAACTGACGAAGTGTGTACAAGGGGGAGGACATGAAATGGGAAAAGACATGCCTCTAGAAATATACAACACTTAAAACCAGT